GCAGAAGCCTGCTCTTGTACAGCTGTCCTTGGCCGGTAGCAGTGGGGCAAAGGTCTGACCTGGGAGTCATGTGAACTTGGGTGGGGCATCTCTCCTCCCAGCCTACATTTTCTCTGCACAAATGGGGCAGAGGAAGGCCTTCCTACCCTTACCACAGGGGTGCTGGGAGATGTGGTACATGGGCCGTGGGGGCACCTGGAACTCAGATGTGTTTTGGAAGTGGGAACAAGGTTAATCAATGTTAAGCATATGAGATGCTGTGAAAAGTAGAGAGAAGACAGCCGTGGGGTGGTGAGGGTGCGCCCCGTCTGCGCTGGGTCTGTGCTCAGGGCTGCTGCACACACCTCTTTCTCCTAGTCTCAGTGGGTTTGCCATGGAGATGTGGCACAGAGAAGTTAAGAAACCTGTTCTCCTGATGTTGCCTTCACAGTCATATGACGTGGGATGTGGATAAGAAGGGTTTTGGGGTGGGTGGGCCTGGGGAGTGGGCTCACAGGTAGGGTGGAACCCCGGGGGCTCTGGTGCATGGGGATGGGCCGCTGGAGTGGTGCCACTGGAGAGCAGGTGCTGGGTGGGCCCCCCTCTCCTCCGTGGTTCCTGGAGGGCATCTCCCATCTCTAGGGGCCCGTCCAAGCTGTAACAAACTGTGGAGCCCTGTGCCTGACACTGTGAAGACCACTGCTCCCTGCTCCTGTCCCCGGGAGTTCACTGGACCAGTCCGAGCCCCTGCAGATCGGTGTTTCCAAGGGGCTCTGTCTGGTGAGCATCCCCAACAAGACCCCTGGAGGGAGCCTGGCCCTGTCTGGAGGGGGCGCAGCTGCAAAGGATGCAGACAGTGTTTGTGGTGGGTGCCAGGGGCTGTGAGGGGAGATGCTGGTCCAGCGAGAAGGCTTCCTGGAGGAGGGGCCCCTTTCTCTGGGCTTTGGCAGCTGAGTAGGAGTTTGCTAAATGAAGAAAGGGAGAAGGGGCTGGTCTGGAGGTGGGGCTGGCCAGCCACGGGTGGTGACTGGGAGGAGTTGTTGCAGCTTTGGGTGGGCGGGAGAACAGGGGCTGAGCTTGGACCCAGTCTTCCCCTGCACAGGATTCAGTTGCTGCTGCCATGATGGGTTGGAGCCCATATTCATGCCTCCTGGCTACCGGAGGCTCTTTTCAGTGTGACCAGCCAGGCAGGAGAGTGGAGTGACAGGAAGCTCGTGGCCCTGCCTCTGGAGAGCAGCCCTTCTGAGCCTGGGGGCTGGGCCTGAGTCCCGGCTGGGGCCTGATGCTCGAGGTGCGCATGTGTGCGCAGGCCAGTCTGGAAGAGGCCATGGAACCGGGTCCTGGCTGCGGAAGCCGGGCGCACGCTGCACTGCTGTGGGCCTCGCTGCGGAGGGGCCCGGACCTCAGTGGTGCCCCAGGAGCCTGAGCCCACCTCCATACTCCTCTCCTCCCTCCTTGCCAATCCAGCAGGAGACATGCCTGGGGCGGGACCTGTCCCCCACTGCCTCTTTGGCGTTCATGCTGCAGGCTGTGCCCAGATGCAGAGGCTGCAGCCAGAGGTGGCTGGGGGGTGGTGATGAGAGACCATGTGGCCTGGTGGTCACAGGACCCTGAGCCACTCTGTGGGAGGCTGGCCCTGCCGACCACCCGCAGCCGTGCCCTCCTCCCTTGGCTCACTCTCTTCCCTCCACCGTCGAGGCCTCCGTGGGCAGCTGCCCGGCCCTGCTTTCCTTCTGGGCCGCTTGCTCCACTTTTCACTTCCAGGGGACCCCTGCTCAGGGCGAAGGGCAGGCCTGGGGGTCACACTCACACCCAGTTCCACCTGGCTCTGCTTTTCACCTGGGTAGGAACTTGGGCAGCCAGTCAAATGCTCTGGTTCTGGACTCCTCCTCTGTAAAATGGAGGCAGGGAGACTTGTCTGAGATGTGCCGGGCCTGGGCAGGGGGACTGTCTCCCTCAAGGCTCAGCTTCGAAGGTCCCCTGAGCCTACTCCACGCTGCCTGTTGTCTGGGAGGCCCTCGAGGGAGGGCAAGGTCTCTGCCACTTCTCCACCCACCCTCGCACATGTGCCGGGCACCCAGGCAGGGCATGTCCTAGCCCTCCTCCCTGGCTGTGGCCCTTGGGCAGGTTTGCATGTGGGGTGGAACTGGCCCAGGGAGGGCCCAGGTGCGGGAGGCGGCGTCCAGGTCGGCTGGCCGTCTGGAGCTGAGGCTGAATGGGCACTCTGTCACGCCGCCTGCGGCTGTCATCTGCCGCCGGGATTTGGTTTCCTGGAGCTGGTGCCACTGCAGGTGGATTTTGTGAGGCCCGGTGACCTCACAGCCTGGAGCCTGGGTGTCTCTGAGCCAGACGGGGGCTGGGTGGGGGGGAACAATGAGGCCTTTCCACAGGAGAGCAGGGCCGAGCCAGCAGTGGGAAGGCAATCTGCCTGCACCCTGGGCCTCACAGGCTTGCTGGCAGTGAGAGGGGCTGCTAGGGGCAGCTGTGCCAGGCTTTCGCAGGGCTCGAGGGAGGCTGGGCCAGCCTCGTGCTGGGTAACTCAAGCCGCCTGGACATGCGTGGGGTTTTGTGGACCCTTCTTGGGGCACAGCTCTGTCTGCCTCACCTTGAGGCTGGTGGCAGGGGGCAGGTGGGTGGAGAGGAGTGTGTCAGTGGGCACTGGGTGCGTAACTCAGGGTCTGCAGGAGGTGAGGTGGGAGGGGTCACCTCTCCCTGATCACCTTGCAAGGGCAGAAGTGCTCCGGGTGGTCGGGGGCTCGGGACCCAGGAATTTGGGGTCAGACAGGCACACCCACTCGCTGCGTGCCTCACCTCTGGGGCCCTTGTTTCCATCCCCTGACTTGAGGCCATTATTAGAAGTGTTTCCAGCTGCCACTTAGTGATTTGTTCATTTATTCACAGTGCCCACTGGGGTATGCCCACCTGGCCACCTGTGGGCAGAGACCATCAGTAGCAGGGGCAGGGTTGGAGGCCAGTGGCCAGGCCTTGGGCCTTCCGGGGGGCCCTCTGAGCTGTGGCTGCTCCCTCCCAGCTTGAAGGGTCTTTCTGGAGCGTCAGGGCCACCTGGCTGTGTGGGGCGAGGAGGAGCAGAAGCTAGGCTGCGGGCACAGCTCCAGGAGAGCTACGTTGGCTCCAGTGTTGTGTGTGAGTGGCCACGGTGTGGCCCTCAATGGCTACACCCTAGAAGAAGGTGAATGTCCATCTGTGGGGGATGCTGAACGTGGTTACAGCAGGTACAATGGAGAAATTATGCAAAAAGAAGAAGGGGGAGTTCCCTGCAGACAGTCCCTTAGTGCCTGCATGAGGGAGGGGCCGGTGGCCATGGGTGAACTTGAGCACAGGGGGCTACACAGCCCACCTCTGCCGTTGACTTCCAGGGAGGCAGAGGTGGGTGGGGCGGGGTGAACGGGCCTGTGCTTTTCCAGCCTATGGACTTCTGGGTGTTTGGAAACACGCAGTGAGAATGTTCTTATGTCTGTACCTTGAAAAATCGTCCAAGGAGGAAGGGTAAGTGGAAGACCCTGCCCGGTGGGGGCTACGCATCTGGAGTCTCCACACAGCGTCCCGGAAACGCCTGCTGCATGCGCCTCATTGCCATACTCACGGCCCACCCCGACCTGTGGGGCAGGACACTGTCTCACCCATTTGATTGATAGGGAAGTGGACACATTGAGGGGTTGGGTTCCTGGCCCCAATTCATAGGTTTCAGAAACCCTGACCACCTCCCCTCCCCCTGTGCATGACTCCCTGAACCTCAGTTCCCCTTCCTGTAAGTGGCAGTTCCAGAGCTGCACCCATTGAGGCATTGGGGGGTGTCTACCAGGCCTCCTCCTGGAGGGGCTTTAATGCCCTCTCTCCTGAACAGGCCAGTGCCAGGCCACCCTGGGCCCTGGGGATGCAGCAGAGGCCCCAACAGGTGCTGCTTGAGGTTAAACACAGAGGGGCAGGTGGAGCAGGTGCCCCAAAGACCCCTTATGGCAGGGCCAGCCTGTCACATGGGAGCCCCAAGGGGACTGTCTGCAGGCTTTGTTCCCTCCCTGGAGTCCATATGATGTGGTCCTGCGGGCGGGAGAGGGGATTCGAGTCAAACCTTCTGGAAGTACTTAATGCATTACCCCCATCCCCACAACCCCCTCTAGAAAGCTTCTTGCTCTGGGCGGCCTCCCGCCGGCCCAGGACAGGCTCTTCGTCAAGGCCCTGCTGTGGTTGGTCCCTGGCCCGCCCGGCCAGCCCCACCGTGGTCAGGCCTTCTGCACCTCCACCCCAGGGCCAGGGCCTCCCCCAGCACGAGCTCCTCTCCCTGAGCCTGGACGTCCATCTCCGACCTGTCACTCCCACTGTCCTTGGTAGAGGGGCTGAGGGCACAGGCGGGGGTGAGGGCTCCCTGGGTGTCCTCTGGGCCCGGGGGTCTGTGCTGAGATGGGGCTGAGGCTGCTCAGGGGTGTCCCAGGAGCAGATGCTCAGGCTTCGGATACTGGGGCGTCTCGCCCTTGCTGTGGAGGGCCGTGCATCTGCCTGGCCCCCAGGCCTCTGTTGGCTTCCCTGGAGAACTGGGTGGACAATGCCAAGGCCCTGCCCCATGGAATCACCCGTGCTGGGCCAGGCACTGCCCTACAGCTATGCTGTTCAATGTCAATTTGCTAATCAGACTTTTATCTCAGGGGCAGTTCTGTTCCAGCTTTCTACAGAGACAATGCTGGGCTAAGGAGAAGCGTTAACTAACCCTGAGCTCAGTGAGGTCTATCATTTGCCCTTGATCATGAGGCTGCTGTGGCTTTTGTCCTGTCTTCTCTTATGCTGACAGCCCTGAGAGCAGCTCTGTGAAGCTGGGGATGCAGTGACCAACTGAAGCTCAGAGAGGCTGGGGCCTTTACCCAGGGACACACAGCAAGAAAGTGCCTGAGCCAAGCTGGGAACAAGAGACGCCCTGGCTTCTAGCTTCAGTTCCTCCTATACCCCACTGCCTTTTCCCACATTCCCAGCAAAGGCCGTTCTTGTACCCTGTGTGTGTGTGTGTGTGTGTGTGTGTGTGTGTGTGTGTGTGTGTAGGGGTGCAGAGGGATGAAGCTAAGAAAGAAAAGGAGTTCAGTGGGGTTCAGCAGATTGAATTGGTGGTCAGGCTTGTAACAATTTATTGCGGATCCAACAGGAAGTCTGGAATTTTCCTGCATGGCAGGCACAATGGCAGCCTTTTTGGAACCAGTGGGAATGCCTTGATGGACCACCTGGCCCTTGGCTGCATTGAACAGGCACAGTGCTTCCTGGCTTCGGCCCTCGTGGACCAGCAAAGGAGCTATGGCCACACTACGTGGGAATGTTCTGCGTCTTTCCCTTGATCCGGCCTCTTCAGTCCACGATCTAACCCGAGAAGGCCAGCTCTTTGTTTTAGCCGGTCCATCCCTCCCTGCCCCCTGGCTTCCTGACTCTGCAGCAGACTTCTCCGGAAGTCCAGTTTCTCCTCTGAAGCTTTTCCAATGCAAATTGACACACATGGGGCCAGCCCTGCCTCAGCCTCCGTGTGCCCAGAGGTCCCTCTGCTCTCAGCATCTCTGCCCTTCAGTGCAATGCGTGCACCCCATGAGTACCCCCATCAGCCCCTCACCCGTCCTGGGGCAGTGGGTCGGGCAGGAAAATGAGCTGGCTGGTGTGATTGATGCCGGCAGCCTGTGCCTCCTGCTTTGATGTTGCTCAGAAAGATCACACGCATCCTACAGGCTGGAAACCCGGAGAGAATTTTGGAGGGGGATGTGGAAGGGCCGGGCACAAGGGGAGGAGGCAGGAGGCTGCCGGAATCATGGGCAGGTGGCAGCCCCTGCAGTGTCCACGTGGCACGCTTTTACCTCCATCTCAACACTCCCACCCAGCAGCCGGGATCTACCCCCAGGAAGTAGGGGCTGGTGTGCCAGGCCCATGATGAGCTCCAGGAGGGATCTCATCTCTTCTCTGCTTTCCTCAGACTGCAGGGTCAGTGTCCTGACTCCTGGGAACGGGTGAGGGACAGGATGGCGCAGCTCTGGGATTTAAAGGCCGGCCTGTGCTGCCCCCCCACCTGGTGCCATGGAGCAGGCTCGGGACGAGGTCTGCAGGGCAGGACGGGAGAGGGAGCTGAGCAGTCCTGGCATCCAGTATGCGGTGGGCCCAGCTCCTACCTCTGCCTTCTGCCCTGCTAAGGTGCCTTGGGTGCTGGGTGCTGTGGAAGGGGATGGGGGTGCAGGGGTCCCATGCATTTTCCTCGCACCCCCAGTGCCTCAGGGGTGCTGAGGCGAGGGCCACATGACAGAACCAGGACCAGGAGGTCCCAGGGGGACCACTGGGAGAGAAGGACCTGGGGCTTAGAGTGAACCCTTGCCCCCTGCCACACAGCTGGTGCCCGAGGTGGTGGGATGGTGCCCTGGCCTCAGGCAGGGTGGGGGTGGGGCAGGGTGGTGGCCAGGAGTGGGGTGGCTAGGTTTTTAGAGAATGCCCTTCCTCAGTGACGAGAGCCCGCAGCTCAGCCTCCGCCCCGGCCTGGCCTTCTGGAGCTGGAGGCAGCTCCCCGCTGGCTGGCTGGGAAGGCTTGAAGCTGCCTGCTCACGGGCTCCTATGCTGCCTGACCCCGGGTCCTCTCTGCCTCCTGCCAATGTTACATGCATAATGGAGTTGGAAAGAGCCCTGGTCCCTGGCTCCCAGCATTCAGAGGCCAATGGAAATGGAAGCTGTGTCCAGCTCTGGCTGCCCCAAACATGCTACAGGCCTGGCTGCCCAGGACCTGGGCTAACCTGGGTCAGGGCCACCCTCCTCCCTAGCTCCCCAGCCCTCCAGGGCCACAGGAGAGGGCCAATCCAAGAGCAGAGACCGGCCACTGGGGACTGAGAAAGGTGAAGTGGAGACCCCCTTTCAGATGACTAGGGGGCCAGCGGGGTCTGGGGCCCAGAGGCAGTCCTGGGAGGAAGCCGGAAGTGTTGGCGGAGGTAGGTTTCAGGTGAGCTAGGAAGGGGTCCCCAGACCAGGGACTGGTGCTTGCTGGGAAGGGAGGTCCCTGTCCCTGCAGGTGACCCAGCAGATAGCCAAGGAGTGGACCCTGGCTGGGGCTGCATGTGGGGCTGTCCCTGGGGCCCTGGGCCACATCTGCCTCTCACGTCCTCACCCCCTCTGCAGATTTCCAAGCGCCTCCTGCCCTCAGGTCACAGGGTGGGGAAACCCCCCCCCTCCAGCATCCATCTGACATGCTGCCTGTGGCGCCCTGCCCAGCCCCTCCATGGCTGCAGCTCCTACAGCTCTGGCACATTGTATTCGATACTTTAACGGGAGCTTCTGAGCGCCAGTAGGGCCAGGCCCTGTGCCAGGCTCTCCTGGGCTCTGGCCTTCCTGAGGGCTCCAGGCCCCGAGCATGGCTCCTGACCCCAGCCCGGCTGGGGAGGCTGCTGCAAAGTGGTCCTAAGCAGGGGGAGCACCGGGCCCACCGGCAGCTTGGAGCCTGACGCAGGGACGTCATGAGGAGGTGGGCCTGGCTGGAGACTCCGGGGCTCGTGGTAAGGGAGATGCCAGTGGTGGGAGGCAGGGTCTGGGCAAGGGCCTGCTTGGGTGCAGGATGGCAAGTGGCCAGCTTGGGCATCTCCCAGGCTATGGTTGCCTTCATTAAGCACCTACTGTGTGCCAGCTGTGGGCCCAGACCTGACGTGTGTCATACCCCAGGCCCCTTACCAGGGCATTCCTGTTGCCCATTGCACAGATGGTGCAAGATTGGCCTGCCCTTCCCCTCTCAGTCCTTGGCCTGAATACTGAGGGAACCTCAGGTTGGGCCAACACTGGCCGCAGAGACTGGTCCCCATGGCCAAGCCAAGTGCCTATGGGGTGCCTCCTGGTTCCAGGCGGCATGTCGATCAGGGAGGGGGACATGGGCAGAGGAGGTGGGTGCCCCAGCAAGGGCAGCCCCCTAGCACCCCATGCTGTTTTCCCAGCAGATGCTCCTAGCACCCACTGGACACTCAGGACCTCGAACAGGGTGCCCAATCTGGAGACAAAGGCTGGGCACTGTGGACAAATACTCATGGATATTGTGAGTGGCAAGCAGCCAGGCAGCCAAGGCGAGGCCCACAAAGGGGCTGGGGGAGGGGGCCATGAATGGGCCTGGGCTGCACATGCCACTGTTGCCCAGGCGACGGCCCTCTCCCAGAGAGGTCTGCTGGGCCATTGTCCGGGGCACACAGGACGTGTCATACACCAGATGGCCGTGTGCTGTCTAAGTCAGTTATCAGGGGACAGAGTGAAGGAATGCGGCCGGCGCAGCGGACCGGGCCGCCATCTGTTCCTTCAGACCGCGGGCACCGGGTGGGCATTGAGCGCCTGGCCAGCCGGGCCCAGCCTCCACCGTGGGCTTTAATTAGCTAATTCCATAATTGGGCTTTATTTCAGGTAAATTGCATTTCACACCCGAGAGAGCTGCAATGGCCCGTCCAGGAGCAAAGCGCTCGTGCACTTTGTGCGCAGTTGATAATACGGAAAACAAAGCCAGGCTGGGTGCAGGGGCCGCGCCCCGCCCAGAGGGGTACTCCTCCGTGCACTGCTTCGAGGGGGTGCAGGCTGGGGTGCCCACCGGCGGGGGGGCCAGGGGCCTGGGGCGCTGTGGAGGACCCTGCTCTCCAGCCAGCCGCTTCCTGGGGTTTCCGCAAATATTTACCCAACAAGGAAACAGCAGCTTTTGCCTTTCCAGTAATTGTTGCTCCCGCCCCTCCCCGATGGGTGCAGGCTGGGGAGGCCCAGGCCCCGCGCTGCCCTGCTCCCCTCCCCCCACAGGCCGGGGCGGTCAGGCCGGCCGCCAAGTCCCGGGACCCCCGGGAGGTGTGGACCCAGACGGGCCGAAGTGGGGCCCACGGTCCTCCCCTCCCACAGGGGCCCAAGCTGCCACCCCATGTGGGGACTTTGACCCTGTGTCCTGACAGTGGCCTCCTGCTGTTTTTGGTGGCTTTGGGGCACCCTTCCTTGAAATCTCAGATGCCACAGACCTGATGGCTTGGGAATTTGGGGCGGGCTCTGTAAGGACAGGACAGGGAAGCAGGCCTGGAGGGTGGAGAAATGGCCCAAAGGTGTACAGTAGACCCACCCCCAGCCCTGCTGAGCGGGTCTGCCTGGGAGCTGGGGTGTAGCATGAATGGAGGTGCCAGGCAGAGCCCACAGGTGCCCACAAGGCAGGGTGAGGCAGGCTGGCACCGACCTGACATGTGTCCAGCCTGTTGGGAGCTGGGCAGGCCTGACGGAGTACTGTGGCAATGATGGGGAAATTGAGGCCGGTGGGGGCAGGCGTGCCTGAGTGGGGTCCCCAGAACCCCACACCCATGCAGGATCCAGCCTGTGCTTCTCCAGCCCCTTAGGGATCCTCACGGGATGAAGGCCAACCTGGCCTGAGAGAGGCAGATGGGGCCCAAGTGCATCCCCTATGGTGGCTACCCAGGGGTGCAGGCTGTTGCCCCAGCACCCACAGCCCAACCAGGCCAGGCCCTGGAAAGGTGCCCACCTGCCTCAGGGGCTCTGGGGCTGCTGGGAGAAGGGTAGTGACCACATCTTGACCACATCAGGTAGCCAGGGCCACCCCAGGGGGAACCCCTGGGGCTGCCAGAGCCCAGATCAGGTGGAGGCCGCGCTGGGCTGCGGCCTTTGACAGGATCCCTGGCTCTCTCTTCTGTGAAGGGAACCATGAGTTCCTGTTTAGCTGCCACCTGGGTGCTGTCTCCAAAGGGACTGCAGGGCTCCTGTCCAGGAGGGAGGTCTTGGAGGGCTGGGCTGGGGGGCAGGGGGCACAGGTGCCCATGGGCAGCAGTGGGAGGTGGGCAGGGGAGGGCAGGGTCCCTGTGGCCTAGGAAGACAGGCCGTGGCCGGCCTTTGGGATGTGGGCACAGAGGGCAGGATCCCTGAGCAACTCCCTCTGCCCTCATCTGGGGCCAAAGACCCTACCTGCTCACTCCTGGAGTCACAAGGAGCTGCCCCTTGAAGGGACAGCTTCTTAAGAGGTGCCATCAGGGAGAGCTTCCTGTGGGAAGGCACCACCAAGGGCTGAGGTCTACAGGGTGGGTGACGGAGCCGCCTGCGGTGCTGCCAGGGGGACAGGAACAGGGATGGCCCTGTCTCGAGGAGCTCCTGGGTCCAGGGGAGACCTCCTACCCAGAAACTCCCAGGCTGCCGAGCTGAGAGGCTCCAGGCCCCCTCGGCCTGCTGGGCGTGCAGGGCCAGAGGCAGTGATGGGGGGCCGCTGGCAGGAGCACCAAGACGGTGGCTCCCAGGAATCACCACGAGAGCAGTGCCGAGACCAGCCCCGTGACCCCACATTTATTAGGGAAAGCCAGCACAACTGCGGGCCAAAATCACACTGTGAAACTCATTAAAACACAGATTCCAGATCAACACAAAGTATCCTGATTTCCATGATCTGTAATGCCCAGGAGGGGCCTCTGTCCTGTGTAGGGACTGTGACCTTATGCTCCCCCATGGCTCAGCAGCAGGCCAGGGGAGGCGACAGCTGTGTGGCTGTCCAGCCGCTCGGACTGGGGCAGGAGGCTGGAGGCAGGGGCCGCACTCAGGGCAGGATTGGGGGCCTCCTCTTCTCTCCAGAATGGGTAGGAGAAGCTGCCAGTCCAAGGTGGGGCTACCTGTCTACCCCTAGTGAAGCACTCTGGGGACAGTTGTGGGCCTGTCCCTCCTGCTGGAAGCAGTGGCCTCACTGAGTCAGCGTCTGGAGAGGCAGCGAGCAAGGCCCAGGCCTGGGCCCTCTACGTGGGCCTTGTGGGCCTTGTGGGCCTTGCTGGTGGCCTCCCTTCTTCGGCATGGGCTGGGCCTGCCCCGCCCTGCCTGCCTCTCTCCTGGGTCCACCTGGGGCCTCAATTGGAGGCTGAGGGAGGGGTGTCAGCAGACCCTGTTGAGGCTGCCTGTCTGTCTCCCCTCAGGAAGCCCCCTGGGGGCTACCAGGGTGGGCTAACATGCACCTGTGTGACTTCCCGGCCATACGTGGGACTGACTGAGTGCTTGGGAAGCCCAGCCCTTGGCAGGGCTAGCCTGATCCCCTGCCACTGTGTCCCGATCACCATGCAAGTGATGTGGGGTCTCACAGTCTCAGAGCTGAGGGGGACCCCACACCAGCCAAGTTCTGGTACCCACTGGCCAGGGAGAGGCAGCCTGCGCAGAGCCCATGCCTAGACTTGTGGGCAGTATGGCCCCCAGGATGTCTGGGCCTGGGAGAGAGGGGCTGCTGTCTCGGGCCTCCGAGCAGGTGGCCGGTGGCCCAGTGGTTACCCTTGCCCAGCGGGAGGTGGTGTCAGCCCGGGGGCTGGGCTTCTCCGGCTTTGCCACTCAGGCTCTGGGCCCCAAGCCCCCATCAGGACCCCTCGTCGGGGCCCCTTCGGGGCACGGTCAGCTGTTCGTAGGTGGGCAGGGCACTGCTGGGCAGGAAGAGCTCAGGGCTGATGGAGCTGCCGCCGCAGGGCTGGGCCACTTGGGCCCCAACCCCGCTGGGGGGGTGGCCACCCGGGAGGCCGCCCTGGTGCAAGGAGAGCAACTGGTGAAGCATCTCTGTGATGAGCACCAGCCTCTGGTCCAGCTGTGTCACCTGTGGGGATGAGAGCAGAGAGGAGTCGGTCGGCAGGGGGGCGGCCAGGTGTGCGGATGGGCAGACCCCGGGCTCCCGGTGGGAGGAGGGGCCTGGGCCCGAGCACCCCTGTGTCCCGGCAGGTGCCTGCATCTTGGTCATGCCTGAGTGTGTACAGAATGTGTGCATGGGTGTCTGGGTATACACAGCCGTCTCAGACACATGGAGGGTGCCCCCTGCAGCCCTCACCCAAGGGGCAGGTTCCCTCCCTGCCTGCCCATATCTCCTGCCTCAACAGAGCCAGTAAATCTGAACCCCACCTGCACCAAGACCCCGGGGCTGAGGCCAGGGCCCTACGGCGTTCTCTCCGGGCACGCGGCCCCACTGTCCTGCAGTGGGCACTGGGGCTGCCCTGTGGAGTCAGAGGGAACGGAGGCAGGCTGGGTCTGGGATGGCAGCTGCTCAGTGGAGGCTGCTGGGTGACCAAGAGCGGAAGGGGCTGAAGGAGGCCCAGAGGTAGGAAGAGGCCTGCAGAGCCTTCAGAACTGGGGTCGGGTGACGCAGGGGCTGGCCCCGAGGCAGGTCAGAGCAGGGAAGGGCGTCTGGGTGGGCCCTGGATTCGGTGCCGAGAGGCCCCCTCCCCAGGGAGGTGCACAGGAGGAGCAGAGCCGGAGCGGGGGGTCTGTGGAGGAGGCACAGCTCAGCCCGGGGCCTGCAGCGCCCCTGGGGGCAACCCTCCCAGGTGCTGTCAGAGACGGACGGACCCTTCTCCTCCCGGGGTACTGGAGCCGGCAGAAGCATGAAACTGCTGAGCCCAGCGCCCAGTGCAGGCAGTGAGGACTGTTGTGTCCGTCTGCCTGGACACACCCATGGTGCGGGGCGTCGGGGCCTGGGCCCCCTGGGCCCCTGCTGGCTTTGGCATCCCTCCACAGGTCCGGGCAGAGCTGCGTGCTGCCTGGCGGGACAGGTAGGGAGCAGATGCTATGGGTGAAGGGGCCACAGACCCCGTGTGTGCAGAGGCCCAGGCCCACCTCACAGTGGGGGGCACTCACAGCACCCCCCACCCCTGCCACCATGGCCACTGAGCTGAGGGGAGGCGGGGAGTGGCTGTGTTGCGATGAAATGAGAGGAGTGGTCTCTTCTGAGGAGCCAGGGGATGAGACCTAAGCCAGGGGACCTCCCTTAAGCTGAGACCCAGGGTGGGGTGGGAAGGAGAAGGCCTGTGCCAGCAGCCCTGCCCCTTGTCAGAACGCTGCCTGTGAGGGGGCTGTGCCCTCCCCAGATGCCTGGGGCCCACCTTTGCAGCGCTGAGGCCACATGCAGTCGGCCTTCTTGAATGGCCCTGGGTCTAAGATCCACCTGCCCCAGGCCTGGGGACAGCTGCACGTCACAGGTCCCATTGCCCAGGCCAGAGGGGCCCATCTCCTATTTTCCCAGACAGATCTGAGGCAGGAGCCCCGGCTATAGAGGGGAAGCATGTGGGCTTCTCTAGTGGGGGTGGGGCCTGGGGCCACTCACTCAGCGCCCCCACCTCCCCCCTGCACACCTTCCAGGCCTGCCTGACACCCTAGGTCCTCTGCCGAGCCGTCTGGAGACTACTGGGGCCTGCAACCCACCCTACGGATGCAGAACCTGGGGCCCCCACAAGGAGAAGGGCCTTGCTCAGAGTCACTGGTTGGAGCCCCGAGTCTCTCACCTCACCCCTGCAGCCCCCCAGCCCCAAGTTCCATTCTGGGAAGAAATGGTGCTGGGCAGGGCGGATGTCAGTACTGAGAGCTCCGCGGAGGGGTGAGAGCCCGGATCTGAGCTCAGCAGGCTGGGGGCGGGCGGGGCGGGACACAGGACGGATGCTCGCTTGTCACACCAAGCGCCAGCCCTTTCCCTGGCCCAAGACCTCTGGGGCTGTAGCTGCCACAGGACCCGGCTCCTGGGTCCCACTGCCCTGGGGGGCCCTGGGGAGGTCACTGGGACTTCGGGGTCCCCTTGGCTCACGGGGCATCAAGAGGGCAGCTTTGAACTCGGCGGGCCCGGGCATGGCTTAACCGTGCAGGCCCGGCTTAGGCATCGGTTGGTAGCAATTAAAGCGCCAGATATGTTACAGAAGAAAATTTGTGGTTTCATAAATTTTCACTTTACGGCCACTTGAACATCTGTTGAAACCCCCAGATGTGCAAGTGGGCATGGAAGCCTTTAAGGGGTGTTCCTGGGAGAAAAGGAATTGGAAGCATGTTTGGGATACAGGGAGGGGTGGGGGCTGCTGCGGTCAAGCCCCATGGAGCCCTCCTGCCCCCCACGCCCTGGGCTAGGCCACCCCTGGAGCTGCGCGGCCGACCTTGGTGCTGCCACCCCGTCCGCCCAGGGCTGCCTGCTGCTCAGCTGCCCGCTCCGAGCTCTGAGGCTGCCCTGCACCGCCCAGCCCCGCCGAGCCCAGCCTCTGCCCAGCGCACGTGGGCCTTTGTCCTCCTTGGTGGCTGATTGCAGCCCCCGCGGCATAGCTGGTCTGGGCAGCGGGGTCAGACCCCCTCGCTGAGGCAGAATGGCCAATACACTGTCCCCTCTAGTGAGTCCTTGCCAGGTTCCCCAGGACAGCGAGATGCCAAGTAAGGGCCTGCACGGACTGTGTGCACGGGTCACGTGTGGGCCGCTCCTCTCTGGCTGGGGCATTGGGTGGTCCCAGCACCCTCGGTGGGCTCCCCTTTGCCAGGCCTGTGCACAGACCCACTCACCTCGCTGCCCCGAGGGCCTTGGGCACTGACTGCTCCACCACTTCTCAGAGAGATGGTCCCTGCGGCCCCCTCCCCGAGTCCTTCCTTCTCTGCCTGGGGCACGATGGGCCTCCGTCTGGCTTATGTATTGGATCAAGGCACCCGGGGAGCCCCTCAGTCGGCTGGAGGCAGTGGCTCTGGCCACACCCCGGCTGCAGAGAGTGGGGGCCGACCACCCGGGTGTCCAGGGGAGGCGGCCTTCCCTGGGAGCTGCTGGGGGGTCAGGCTGAGGGGTCTCAGATCTCGTCATTGTTTGCAGTTTGATGTGACTGAAAGGTCAAGGTCAGCGAACGCCCCTGTTCCTGCCTCAACTGGAAGAGAAACAGTCAGGAGGCCCAGAGCCGGTGACCGGACCCCTGGAGGCGGGCTCCCCTGTGATGTGGTTAGGAATTTGCTTTCAAAAGAAAATCTTGAAAAAGCATCTTTGAAGGGACATTTTTGCAGAGCCGGCTTGGCCTTGATCCCAACTCCGGACTTGCTGGTGGCCCTGGCCTCGTGGGTGCCTTGGGCTGTCTCAGTCATGCTGGCCTCAAGAGCGGGGACGCCGAGACTTGGGGACCGAGGGGAGGGAACCCTTGCCCTGGAGGACAGCTTGTGGCACCCCCGGGGCCCTGTTGGTCAGCATTTAGAGGCCTCCAGTCCCCGGACCAGCTTGCAGGGACAGGCTGGCACAGAGCAGGGACCGGGTGCCCACTTTGGCCCACCCAGGAGGGAGCCTGGGGCTGGAGAGCTCCGGGCAGAAGCCCACCTCCTCCACCCGGGCCCCCTGGCCACTCCTCCTCACTGCGGAGTTCAGGTGACGTCCCCAGCACAGCGGGGACCCAGGGCCTGAGGAGTGAATTCTGATTGTTGCCCTACCTACGTGCTGGCCACAGCCAGGGGGCCTTGCCCAGCCTCACTGGCCACAGTCTTGGGCGTCAGGCCCTCCTGAACACAGGAGGATGTAGTCTGAGAGGCGACACCACCACCCCAGGGTGCTTCCTTGCTGAGCAGGTTATGAGAGGGGTTCTGGGTGCCCGGGGCTGCTGGGGTCTCCGTCTCCACAGAATGCCCGTCCTTGTCCCACCCTCATGGGCCTGGCCCTCACTCTGGGACCCATGGCCTGGTCAGAGGGGGCTGGCCACAGTGACCTATGGCATTTGCCCCCGTGCCCTCTGGCACAGGCAGGTGGTGCTGAGCACCTACACCACTGAGGAACCATGCAGGGGAGGCACCGACTCTGTGGCCTGTGGGCCTGGCCCTCTGCTGACCCGGGTGGAAGGAGGCACCCTCATGTGACAGTGCTCTGGGCTCAGGCCAGGGACCCACCAGGACTGGCACATGTGGCCCTGACCCGCGCTCTGGCCTGAACGCAGACTAGGAATGTGCTGCCCCGCACCCCTGTTCAGGCCTCTCCACCTCTCTGCGCCCTCCACAGAGATCCTCACTTCAGAAAAAGTCTCCACACCTCAGCAGCACGCCCCATGTTCTATCCATCAGCAGAGCCCAGGAGACCCCTCCTGCTTGTCCACGGCCACCACCAGGCCAGGCCGCCATCCTCTCTTGCCAGGATTGGTGCAGTAGCCTGCCAGCCAGCTTCCCCCGACAGGACACGATGGTCCTTTCCAAACACAAAGCAAATCACGCCACTGCCCTGCTCAGCCCCATCTGAGCTCCCGTCTCACTCCCTGAGAGACTCCAGGCCCTCCTGTGGCCCCAGATGCACCCCTCTTTGTTCTCTGACCTCCTCTCCCTTCCTCCCTGTTCACTCTGTCCAGGCCTCTGCTGGTCCTCAAACATGGCGCCCTTTGTCCCTGCTGCCCCTGCTGCCTGCACAGCCTCCTCCCACCCTCGGGTCTCAGCAGCCTCACTGACCTGACGCCCAAGCCTCTGCTTCCCTGAGAAGCCCTTGCCTTCTCCAAGGCACCTGATATGTGGCTGTATCCGCTTGGTCCTTAGCTGTTTCTCTCGCTAGAACCAGGTTCCATGAGCCCTGTTTCTTTGCCCACCGTGCCAGGGCTGGAGGAGCCCAGTTAATGTCTGTGGAAAGAATGCAGTGGGTGGGACATCACCTAGCTTCGACTCAGAGCCCCTGGGGGGACCGTCCAGTGGGAGGGGGCATGGGTGCCTTTCTCCCCTGGGACAAACTGTCCCAGGAGGCCCCTGGCCCAGGGGCAGCCCAGGCCCAGCCCCAGGTGTGCACTAACCTGCGGGCCCTGCCCCTGGCGGCTCTGCGGGGTCTGGGAAAGCACCCCCCTGGCGGAAGTGCGGGAAGAA